ACTGCACTTGGACTTAACCACAGGGCTTCACATTCAATTACTGGCTCCTTATTGGGTTACAGAGGCTAAAATCTTTTAATTTTTGCCTCCAGCCGGACTTGAACTGTTGACCTTGACTGTGGGGGCATGGAAGCTTAACCGCTAAGCTATGGGACCCATACCCCTAGTAAAACCTTCTAATTCTAGCAAAAATCAATATAATGAATAACTTTTAAAAAGTTTAAAAATATGAAGCATATTATATCTCTCTCTCTTATATTATTACTAACATTCAAATTTAGGTGAGTCTTGGCTACTCTTATAGGTTTAGATTACAGATTATATGCCTGAGTCTTTATTCTTTATATGTAATTTAAAAGTAAGCCTTTCTTTATAAAACTTTAATTGAATTTAATAAAGTTAAAAGCATGACCTTACTGTTAATATTTTTTTTTTTTAAAAAAAAAAAAAATAAAACAAAAAAGATTAAGGTCTAATAACCTTTAATATTGAAAACATTGTTTAGAAATATATATAGGACACTAAAGATCTTAACAAGATTATTAAAAAAAAAAAAACTTAGATATTACAATTTTTTTTTCTTGATCAACTTATTACTTTTAACAATTTATATTTATTATATTAATGATACATCTTACCTAGATTTAATAAACTTTTTAAAGTTATTATATTTTAATAGTTTATTACTATTAACTATTTCTAACAATATACTTTATATAACTATTTCAACCTGTCTTTTGCAAACTACTTTTTGTTACATTACTGATTATTTTACTTTTAATATTAAATCTTGATTACTTAATATTCTTAATGATTAAATAATTATTAAAAAAACCAAAAAACATAATACACCTACTGGTCTTATCTTTATTACTTATTTCAGTTTCAGTTTTCCAATCTTTACCTTATTTCTTTTTCTACTACCACATTATGCTCTGAGTGTCATCTTAACTTCAACACAATTGCTAACAAATATACTATCTTCATTCTTACTAATCTTTTGGTTTTAAGAATTTGATGTTTATAAAGAGTTTGTGCTTATATAAAGGTTAAATTTTATAAATATTTTTATGTGATTATAGGAAATATGACTATAAAAAAGGTGTTTATAGAAAGGTCGGACTGTATATTTAATTTTAATATAAAAAACCAATTTCACCAATTTCACCAAATAATTTCAGCAATTTTAATAAAAACTTTTTATTAAGAGTAATTAAAAGTAATCTATAATACTATATACTGTATATTTTATCATATATAGATGTTAACGGTGATAGATCCAAGCCAATCAAGATTGCATGATTCCAAAATCTCAAAAAATTCAAATCGAAATAACTCAAGTTTATGCCTATAAACCAATATTCGTGCTTTGACAAAAAATATTCTCTGCATAATTTTACTATATATCATTACCTTTTCTAACCCTAAATATAAATCCAAACAAAATAATAATTTTTTGTATACATATCAAATTTAACCTATCAACTATACAATATTAGTAGTATACGTATTAATTTATTGGCAGTTTAGTAATAAATTAATTATTTTTCTTATCAAGCACTTATATACTGTATACGTATACATGACATGATTATTGATTAGTAACACAAACTAAAAATTGTATCCGTGTAATTAATTAGATAATTTCAGAATTTCATACATACAAATTTTCGACATATAACTTGTGCCAAGAAGGAAATCATTTACATATAAATGCTTACTATTCAACCAAATTATGTAAGATAGATACGTATGCATCTTCTTAATGTATGCCGGGAAGCTTGTACATAGAAACATGTCATTATTTAAGGAAACTTCGGTGATTTCCGGATCGGAGGTATCCGTGAATGAAAATATCCAATATATGAGTGACACGACAATTTGGAGTAATAATCAGCCTAAAAGCTGTGAGCAGTCACAACTATCGCAGTAATGCACGATACAATCCAAACCGGACACGAAGGGATGATAAAAGTTTTGATAATTCTGAATCACACATGGAATACTTAAAAGGGAAGTCATTTTTGGTAAAGCCGATACTTATTATAACGATGACAATCCAAATCGACCTTATCAAAAATGACAGATCGTTCGGGAATACCAATTGGTATTGATAAGATTGTGATAAGATATTAGATGTATTGGCTAAAAATCATCATATTAATGCAGTAACTAGTTGAAACTTGCACTCTCTGCTATCTCCTGTTTCTCAATAGTCCTAGAATAAATATTCTAATAAACTCTGACCTTCCTTCTTTTCGCCTTCTAACACCATCAACCCTTCTATATTCATTCCTTCAGAGGTCTATTCTCATACATCATTTTACATAAGCTGCTTGTGTTAGTTAATCTGATATATCCTTATAATTTCTTGCACCCGATAATAATCAACTATATATTACAAAATTCATACCTTACTAGAATCATGTATTGAAACCGAATAGATTAAGGCCTTATTTCGGTCCTTTGTATATAATTCCTTACACATCCTCTAATTATATTTTCGCCGTCCTCTCTTTCATTGTGTTACACTTTCGTTTATAAAGCATACTTTTTGTCCGTTGCAGCTTTAATCATTTTAACGCTATCTTTATGCGTTACCCAATAAATCGTAGGATCGATCAAAGAACTCTAGAGATGTCAACGTTAATCCATGAATTTGAAGATATCCTAAATGCTGAAGTTTATATCGACCTTGATAAACTGCGAGAATTGGCTAGACACGGTGTTCCCATGAAAGTTCGAGGGGTAAATTCTTATCAGATGATCTTTTTGCATTATCAATTTTTAATTATCGAATTGTTCTCAGTTAAACATTTATCTTGATTTTTCTTCTTATAAAGTAATTTCTATCTATATCTTTATTTTTCCTCTAAAGGAAGTATGGAAGTACTTACTTGGAGTCAATCCGGCTGATAGATGTACGTGATATTTGATTATATTCGAATATTATTCATTATATATTCACAAAGTCACTCTTACTTTTTTAAACATTACCAGCACAAGAGTTGACTAGCCAAAAAGCCAAATATGATGAATATAACAATATAGAAAAAGAAAATGCAGATATAATTAAACGAGTCCGTGGTGAAGTTATCCGATATCAACATAGAATGAAGAACGCAAGCGGCACTTTTAATCAAAATGCAAATATCTTTGAAAATGTTATCGGTGCTCATATGAATCGTAATCGTGATGTTGACTATCAACCGACTTTCATTTACCTATGTGGTCCATTCGTGTATTGCATAAAAAATGAACCAGATGTGTATTATTGTTTCACTCGACTTATGGCTATATTAGGTTTGTTCGGTCATTAAATTTTATGTGTTATTATTATCAGTGGATTTTTTGTTCTAACAATTTCTATTTATTATATTTATTAGACGAGTATAATTCTACTTATAACATAAACGAACGTGTCGCGAAATTTATGACATTATTTAGAGCAGTCATTCCTGACTTGTATGTTATATTATTAATTACGAATTTTATTAAAATCAATTTTGGATGAGAAAATAATTTGATATATATTTTACAGATGTAATTATTTTGAAGAAGAAGAAGTAAATATTAATGAATGGGCATCATCGTGGTTGCAATTTTTATTAGCGAAAGAACTTCAGTTTGATGATTTAATGCGGCTTTGGGGTAAATTTCAATCCTCGGTTAGGTTAACAAAAGTTCATCAAACATAAAGTCGAAAATAAATTCTTTTGTTACAGATACATATTTTTCTATTCCTGATCCTATCGAATTACATCCATATGTATGCTTAGGTATATTATTAGCTTATTAGATCATTCATTACCTTTTGAGTTTGGTTGGTTTCTAAAAATAACTATAATTTGACCTTTCAGCTGTGCTAAAACATACCAAAGAAAATCTTGAGGAACTGGAACAATCGGAAATTAGGACATTTCTATTAAGATTACCCTCTTTGGACATGGAACAGGTAATGTCATCAATTAATTAATTATTCACTTTGATTTATTAATTTATCCATTTTTTTTCTAAAATAAATTGTAAAATTTCTTTTGCATAGATAATTAATCAAGCCTTTAACTTTAGACATGAGATACTGGAAAGGCAGATTTCAGATTCTCTTTAGTAATCATGAGTCACAAGCAATAGATAGTAGTAAACATTATAATAATAATGATCTAAACAATTGTCTCTCGTATGACATAATTCTTGAGGGTGCAATAAATCAAATTTCATTGTTAAACATAAATGTTTCATATTTATTATAGACATAAATAGGTATACAATAAGCCATTAACGTTAATAAAAAGATCGGAAGTTCTTGTTTTAAATTTGTATAAAAATTTCTTAATTTGTAAGTTCCATAAAAATGGGTTGCACAGCCAATACTCAGCCTTTGATTTATTATGGGTGATTTATCATTATATAGACAAAATATTACCAAAACTGTAACGTGGCTATTTTTACTTTAATCATCACTATCCGAATTCCTAAAAATGATATGATTGTGGTATGTGCAGGATGATCGAATCGCTATAATAAATTACAACGAATGTCTAAATTAAGTCCGTGTAACATCTGCTTTTAAACTACAGTATGATTTACTTATTTTAACTCGTGTGAAGTACACGTCCAAGATAACATCCGTTTTCTTAACTCTATAATGTCTAAACAAAGCGGGTGGAACCAATATTATCACCAAGGTCAAGGTTACGATACAAGGGGAGCTGGTGTCGAAGAAAAGGGAGTAAGTCCTAGTGACCCTTCCTTCTGGGCATCTTCCGATAGCCGGCTTAATACTGCACCTAGTGCACCACCAGCGTCCGTTATTGATTTTGAAGATACACAGCATGAAACTCACAGAAATAAAGAAGCTTTAGAAACTGAGAGTGACGAAGATTATGCTAGACGTTTGTATCGTGAAGATCGTGAAGAATTAGACAAGCAACGTAATAGGCAATATGGACAGTATGGAGATGGAGTTTATCATAATACTTCAGGCGAACCAGGCGGTTATGATACGTCAGGACAAATTGAACAAGGATCTAGGATTCCATCAGTACCACAAAATCAACCTCAGGCTAAACCAAGACCATGGAATAGAGCATACTTTACCTACGTCGCCACTGCTGTGCAAATATTTATGTTGATTTATTCATTTATTTATAACCAAAATCTAACCGGCAGTCTGATTCAGCCCTTTTCTAGTAATCCTATGATTGGTCCTGGTCCGGAGGTAAATATTCACCGCTAATAAATAGAATTAACAATTATATCATGTAATTTGTTGTTTAAAATATATTCCATTTTAGACTCTTGTTCAACTTGGTGCTCGATTTGTTCCCTGTATGCGAGAAGTTTCTAGCGTAACTGCTTCTACTCCTTTACAATGTCCAACATCTACGGGTGGAAATACTATTTGTTATTTAGAAGCTTATTGTGGTCTCGGAGGATTTCACGGTGGTGGGCCTAATCAATGGTTTCGATTTATAACACCAATTTTCCTTCACGCTGGTGTAATACATTTTCTTTTCAACATGTTATTCCAATTGACGACTGGGAGACAAGTTGAAAATGAAATTGGTTGGTGGCGTTATGGAATTATCTATATGGCTAGTGGGATATTCGGATTTATCTTTGGAGGAAGTTTTTCTGGGCCATTAATTCGTAAGTGTTATTATTTAACGAATGTGACATATTAAATAATCAACTCGGGTTATAACCTTGTTTTTTATTTTTATAATCACATGACAGCTTCTATGGGTGCATCTGGCTCTCTTTTTGGTATCGTTGGCGTTTTACTAGTAGACCTTTTACAAAATTGGAAAATCATTCCGAGCCCATGTTGGGAACTCACGAAATTATTATTAATTATCATCTTCTCATTCTTACTTGGTCTCCTACCCAGTATAGATAACTTTTCTCATATAGGTGGATTTCTTATGGGACTAGTTACTGGTCTCGCTTTAAATCCAACATATAATTTTTCGAAAATTCATAAATATGCTAATGTAATTCTTAGAATCATAGCGTTGGTATGTTCTGCCTTACTATTTTTATTACTTACGCAAAACTTTTATTCTGGTGATCCCAATGAGAAATGTCCTTGGTGTAAGTACTTAAGTTGCTTACCAGCTACCGGATGGTGTGCTGATAAAATAGGAAATAGTACAATAGGAAGTTAAATGAATATTTTTTTAAACAAATATGTATTTAAGGCATTTTTTGTTTACAGTTTGATTATAATGATAATGAGTAAATTTTTGTATATTCTAGTTAAATATAATTGTGTATTTTACTAACATTTCTTAGGCAGGATCTAAGTAAACAAAAATTGTAAATTTACAATCAACATTTTTTACTATTAAGTTCACCATGTGCATCCCATAAATTCATTTCTACCATTTTTGTAAAAGGATGTTTAAACCCATATGATATTTCCAATATTTTCAAAGCTTCTCGAAGTAATTCAACGACCTTACAAATATCAACATTATCCATCGACATATATATTCTCGCAGTAGTGTAGATTTGAATTCCGAGTAAAGGATGTGTTCGAGAATATAAAATACGATAAGAATCAATAAGTGCCAAAGAATGAGAAAGTGCTTCTGGCCAATTCTTTAAATTACAGTAAATATCAAACAAAGCTTTATGAGTGGATACTAAATTATAATTAGCCATATGGAGAAGTTTATTTTGAATTTCAAAAGCTTGTTTAAAATAAGTCATGGCTTGTAGATTATCTGTAGAATGTTTTTTAAGATATGAATCATTAAATCGATTGTAAATAATATAAAGTTTATGTATTAAAACTGACCTTGATCTCGTAAATTTGTGCCTTTTTCATATAATTGAAGAGATTTGGATATACGTTTCTCCACATCTACTACATCGTAATGTATATTGTGGGAACATATTTTACATGTTGACGTATATTCTTCTATACCTAAATCCAACGAGCCTACCCATATGAAAATTTTTTTTTAATGATGGAACTTATAAGATATTATTCTCAAAAAAAAAAAAAAATATATATATATATATGTATAAATTACTTGGTGGTTCAATGGCGTTAGAACATTTATAATTTTGACATCTCAGCGCACTTCGTGGGTCAATATTATCCTTGGACTACCCATTAAAAATTGTTATGTAGGCCAAAATTTAGGTAATATTCGAAAGTAAAATTTAGGTATTACCGAATTGACGTTACCTTAAAGAGTTCGCAAGAATCACAATGGCACCAAAAAAAGTATTGTTTCTGCAATTCTTTACGCCGTTCTTCTACAGGCAGACTCAGATCCACATAATTAATAACTAGCTACAAATATATAGTGGCAAAATTTTAATCTGCAGAAGTATGCAAAAGCATTCACTAATCACATGAAATTACCTCTTGATCATTGTTTATTGGTTCTATACATCGCACCATTAATTTTGATTTTTCAAAAATAACAACACAATTAGGACGGCAAGAGTGATTTAATAACGAAACATTAGGATAAATGCCAACTCCAAAAGCAATCATTTCTTCATCCAAGATAGAGAAACTATTTTCAGTCATCTTAAAAAAACAAATATATTATATATATATAATTAATTGTTAGTAAAGTGTCAGTGAACAATTTGATTTATTCACACAGTTATTATTATTATTACCCGACAAAATAGGTCTAACATTTCTGAAGCTGATAACAAAGCATCTTGAGAGATGCATTCTCGAACCACCATACACATTTGTGCAAATGTTTCAATTTGTTCTTGTTTAAACATTATTCGATCTAAAAAATAACACGATTTATGTCAAGGTAATAAGTAATAACTATAAATGTGGATGTGGAGAAAAGGAATATTAGAGCAAATAAGGATACTGCTTTGGAGATCTTCAATCCCTTTGAACTAAAGGAGTGAGAAGATTAATTGAAAGAAATAATGAAGATATTCAATTACATAAATAATACAATGCTAACAGATGCTAGATCATTCATTCGATGCATTAGTATTCGACATATTAAGCGAATTGAAGCTGGTGGCGTTCTTTTATGCTTGACAAATGATTTACATTCATGTTGGTGATATGGGCGATCCTTACGTTGACATTCCTAAACATTGATGTGTGTGAAATTTTGGGATGAAATTTATTATGATTTTTTATCATAACCTTTTTCGTACCTCAGAGCAATAATGGATCACATTACAACTTGAACAACACAACAATCTACCACCTTTGGAAAAACAACCACTACAGGCCACAGAAATATTGGCATCATCCACTACCGCCGCATAGGGAGTATCTTGAATTATAAGGTCACCTACCAACCAATATCGCCAATGCTTGAATAAACATGAATGATTTGAGATATGAAAATATTGAATATGCAGGGAAAAATTTGTGGATTTTTAGAAAAAATACCGGGTGATATCTTTTGCATTGCATAGATCCCTCTTCCCGAACTCTCACAAGTTTTAACGCAAACTTTCTTATTTGCGATTTTCGATATTTTAAGAGTTTCCATATTTTTTCCAGTGGTTTAATGCTTCCGACTAGTGATACGAATCGCAAATTGATTAATCGAAAAGTTGACCAAGTTAATCGATTTAAAATTTTCGAAACCACTAGTTGTCGAATGATTATCTACATAAATCATGTGATTCGTCCTTATTTGATATAAATAACACTACTGCTAAATTTGATTGACATTACTTTTAACCAATCAAAATCGGCCTTTGATGTGAAAGACCCCGTATTATAAAGAAATAAATATGGATGCTACTGATTAAAAATTATGATTGATAGCGGTCCTAAGCAGATTGCAAGTTTTGAGATCATTTTTTCTTCGTGAGCCATTAAAGTTATTTTACTGTAAACAAAACTTCAATAGTACTGATTTATTGAAAAATAGTGGCCGGTCTTAGGACCGATTTAGAACCGATACAACCCTACTTGTTAAAGTAGGTCTGCCATTATTTCTCAATAGGTAAATTATGGTAAATTTACGAGTATATAGTATGTCAATTATTACTAATTATAGTCAATAGAATTATTAGATTAAGTATATACAATATATATACTATTATAAATATTACACAAAATTTATAATTATGAGTATAGTATTTTAATACAATTAAACTTATTACTATATTAATATTATATAATTAGTTTATTTTAATATATAATTATATAGCAAAGAAAGAATATTTTAGAAAGATCTAACTTGCAAACCAGAATACTAGCTAAAACTGGTATTGATAACAAATTTGTTTGATAATCATAAATTACAGTCTTTAATTTTACTTGAACATTACTTTCTATATATAATTCTCAAAACTCATGTATTAGTGTAATGCTTTATTGTTTACAAGTATTTATATTACTGAAATGTGTAAACAAAACTATAAGGTAAACAATTTATTTATATTATATATAACAATATACATAATCAATTCTGCAATCTAATTGGCTGAATTAAATTTATTTATTTTTTAATATAATATATAAAGGTAATTTATCATACCCTTGGTGATTTACCGTAATTTACAAATGGTAATTTACCTCATGACAACCCTGATTAGTGACTCGATTTCAAAAATCTTGCAAAATATAAAATGCCTGCGATCTACAAAATAAATTAAAAAAAATTTTGTTACTTTGTGTTTTATTATCGATATACGTTAATTATTGCGCAAAATTTCTTCAGCACGTGGTTATATTCTATGTCAGGATGTATTTGAGTTCAAAATTCGCATTGACACTTTCCTTTTGAAATTTTGTATTACCAGGCACAAATAAAAAAAAATCACCCGTTGGGTCGCGATAAATTGGCTCGAAGTTTGTAGATCATCTCCTTGTAGTCATGTGAATTAACAACAACTAAATCTCGCGAAGACATTTTATCATATTACGGTAACTAAAAATTCTTTTTTGAAATACTTTTTTTTCCTTTTAGCAGTATTATTGAAACGAAGTAACACCTTTTCAAAGTCAAGATGAAAATAAAGCAGGCGTCACGCGTCAATAAGACTAGACATAACCCGATTGCAATACCACAGCAGCAGCAACAAGCAAGCATCTCTTGTCCTGCTCCCAACTTTCTTGAAGACCCTGACATGACCGAAGAACAGAAACAAATTATTATGAACCGCATTCACGAAGTAAGGTCAAAATATGAAGCGTTTGTGGAAAAAGATATAAACCAAAAGGTATTTTAATTTAGAACGCGTTATTTTAAAATTCTTTTCAAAAAAAAATGGTACGAAATTTACGACATTTTTACTGTCACATATTGTGCAGATACGAACTATTATGTTTGCTTCTGATTTGACGGAAGAAAAAGCACGTTTGGCACTATCTTTTTGTCATGATGATGAACATGAAGTTCTTAACAAGCTTGCAGGGAAGGGAGCGCGAGGTTTTCGTAATTTACTACAACCTGTTAGCTACATAACCGATGCAAAATATGTCGAAGAAGATTATTCTCCTCCTTTAACTCCATCAGCAGAAGAATTTGATTCTTTGGATGAAATAGAAGTTCCATTCACTTTGCCATCAACACGAACCACCGTCATTGCTCTCGGTTGTTATCACAAGTCTCCATCATGGTGGTCAAGTCCGGGATCATTATATCATCATCCGATTCCTCTTAATTATAAGGCAAAACGAACTGAATCAAATACTACTTATATCATGTCCATCGAAGAAGATTTAGCAACAGGAAATCCACTTTTCAGAGTTACAAATCAGTCGACAAAACAATCATTTACTGGAAGTTCTCCTACCAAACCATGGACAATGGTATGCGTTTCCCATTCATCATCGAGAGGTATGTGCATAGTATATAGTGACATAAGATTACATGAATCAAGTATCGATTTTTATTTCTTTACTCTCTTATGAAATCAATAAATTAGCAACCCGTATTTCTGGTCCTTTATTCTTTGGATTTTCTGATCCATTATTGCAACAATTACTTACAAAAATGGTCAAAGAGAATGATGTTGAAGAATATTATTACAGATTTGTTGGTGAAGGAGAGACGTTTTGTTGTGATAAAGAATGGAAAGACGAAGAAAGGCAGATCCTTCTATCAGAAATTCGTCGATTCTGTGACATTATTGGCACGTCAATTTCGGATAATGATGTTTCTTTTCCTTTTGGATTAGTTGCGCGTAATGTTCCCAATAGAACAGGATTTCAATGTCAATACGAATATAATCGCCTAGTGACTACCGGTCAAATTAGCGAAATAGATGATTGTCCCGTGACAACTTTAAGAGTAAATTATGACAAACTCGTTAAATCCATGTCTTCTAATGGTCAAATCAAACGGGCAAGAAAATTTTCCAGTCAAAAGGAAGATGATAAATGGAATGCGAAGAACAAAACTAAATTTAATCCTTGGAATCCGTTACCGAACATGAAAGATGCGATTACTATGGAAAATATGAGTGAACCAGCAATCTCACCGGATGGGTTAGTTCCTTATTATTCTTTTTGTTAGGCAATCTTTTTTAATGTTGTCTCGAATGTTTCATTATACTCCAGTTACGTGTGCGACTACAAAACATGGATTAAAATCCTACATTCTCATGAATCCAAAGATACTTGTCCGTAAGTTTGATATATATATATTTTTAACTTTTAGCAAGTTTTGTAACAGTGCATTTGATGAAATAATTTTTTTTCTATTAAGATTCACCAAGAAACGGTTGACACGTCGACAATTGGTGAAATTGACTTTCGATAATATTGCTGACTATTTACACATAATACGCGAACCATAATCATTGTATAAAATATTACTAACATTAGAAATGCGTTTATCAATTTGTTTGTTTATGGATCGAGGTGAAGACAAGTGCATGTATACAATCTAATTTCATTTAGATAATACAACGAAATTTTAGCATTTACAATCTTAATTCATAGTGGGCCAATTCTGTGATATAAAAATGTGATTTACCACATGATTACTAATTTATGTACTGGTCAATTAATTATAATATTATTAACGAAAATTATATTTGCGCAATTATTAGGATTGGTAGTCTAGAAGCCGAACAAGTTGAAAGAATTATGGAAATTAGAAATCAGTTATTAATTTGAAATTTTCAAATAAAAAAAAAACATCTTAAAAGTTTGGCGATGAGTTTAGGCCACCTAAGTTTTAGCCATAAAACGACTCTGAATAACTAATTGTTATAATTAAAAAAAAAATAAAAATGCACGGCCGTAACAATTGTAATAATTATCACATGTTATCGTTAAAGTGAATATACAAGACCCGGGTCTATTCGTTCCACTAATTTAAAACCCATTATAGATTCGAGTCTAGTACACGCTAAAAAAATTTAAAATGTACACACGTTTAGCCAATTGAAAAAAAGAAATGAATAAAGGTTCAGAAGTTAACACTCGGTTGCGTCCCACAGTAAGCCGGCTTAAATAAAGAAATAAGAGATTAACTAGATAACGTAAACTTATGGAACGCAGGAAAAAAGACCAATAACTGATCATATAAATTTCCATCATGTTTTTATTAGGCATTATAAAATTTTTGTAACGTGATTTTTTTTTTACTTTTTCGCCATTTATTTGAGCTTTGCTTTTTCATGTTGGAATTTTATAAGTTTACATGTTTAGTTAATCTTTCATTTCTACTGAGACGGCTAATTTTACGAAAAAAGGTTGTATTGTGTTCGTGAACGATCTATGGGAGCATAAGGTTATCACCTCTCATTAAGATCTGATTTGGTTAGGGCACTAACACTTATTATGTGAATATAGGGTCCCCCCTCTGACCCAGGTATTTGGAAACCCCTTGCATGATTTTATGCGCCATTTACGTAATCAGGCATTATCATACATTTTATGCATACTTATGCAAGGGGTGCATAGAATCATGCAAGGGGTTTCCAAATACCTGGGTCAGAGGAGAACCTTATATTTTACATAAGTGTTACGTAGTATTCTTAGCAATGTACAATTTACCTTATAATGTGTGCATGCCTTTTGTTTGACTAGGTACCATCTTTTAAGCAGCACTACCAGATCATACGAAGTTTAAGAATTTGGCAGAATGTAAGATAGTACCATAGTCGTGTCAACAAACATTGCCGCTAAAATAAGGATATACTAACTTTGAGCGAAAATATCTTGATGATTACTTATCGAAATTAATAAAATTTTTATTTTTTTTATTGATTTATTACAAGTGGTTGTCGGGATATTTTTGCTTGTTTAAAAAAAAATTTGCAGCGACCTTCATTTTTATAGATTTTCTAGACTTTGAACGAAGATATCTTAACGATCACCTATTTAAAATTACCAATTTTTTTCATTTTAATTATATAATATATATAATTAAAATTTTTTTGATTTATATTGGTGTTGTCAGGATATCTTTGCTCAAAGTTTAAAGAAACTTTACTGCGGCTTTTATTTTAACAATTTTTTCCAAATTTTGATGTTATTTTGCAGCTACATAGAATAAAAATAAAAATTTTTTATAAATTTTAT